AGAGGCAAAGAAGTGTTGTTCAGTTGTTGATGTTTTTGTGGTATCGTTGTCATTGTTGTTAATTTTGTCTTGTTCTTTCTTCACTTTGAAATTCAGTGTCTTCAGTTTGCAAGGTTAGTTCTCTGTGACTTTAACCTCTATTATTTTCATCATCAGACAGAAAATATATCCACATTTTAATTTCTCAGTTTTTGGCATTTCAAGTTGTATGTAATTGAGCAAAGGTGTGACTGTCTACTATAGATCACATACTGTAGATTCTATGATCCATATGGCGTTTACGTTTTGATAGTTCAGTATTGTGGCTCTCTCCTCTTTGGATTTGTGCAAACGAATGAGAAATTTTCAACACGAGATGATAGAGAGAGCGAAGACAATCTTTACTAAAATCATAAAGCAAGAAGAGAAATGAAGTCATCGCACATTTACTAGATTTCCATTAAATCGTTTTTAAATCGTTTCAGTGCTTACTTTAGAAAGCCAAAAGTACTTTCTCTTTGCAAAGAAAACTCACAAAKAGATTATTTTATATCGTTGCCTAAAAGAGCGAGGACTCTTCCATCCCTATTCACAAAAACAATGTCAGTCAATATCGTTACTTTTCCCAAAATACATCGAAAAAACAATAATCCTTGAAGTCATTCAATGACGGGTAAATTTCCTCTGAGTCATATTTTTGGCGGGCACGCAGTATATACTTCTCCTGCATTAGAGCAGGAAAAAAATGGATGTCATATATATTGAAACTTATTTTAGTTGAACGCCAGAGAGGTGATCTCGTCTACCCTGAATTTGACATACGCTCAATTAGCACAATTACTAATACTTTGCCAGTTCCGGATTTAAAAAAAAAATTGTAGGGCGAGAGAGAGAAGGAATATTTGAAAATACCTCTTTAATAACCAAAGATGGTAAAAAAATGTTTAGCAGTCAATGTGGATAACGAAAGGAGCATTAAGTACACTTTACTCCCGATATTAAGTTCTAGCCAATAGAAAGACAATCTTCCAGGGTATTTCCTACACATTCCTCGTTCCTTCGTCAACCGCAGTTTCAGCGAAAATCTAAATGAGAGTGTCAAGTGTCACGCAAGCCATCAAATTTGCGCTTAATTAAACGCATCCATCGCCACAAGTCCCGCAGATCGTACTCAGCGCTCGTATCTCTCTACGTAATGTTTAACCTCTGATCTGACGCATTCTACCCCAATAAATCGCCTTATGTACAGTCAAAAACGAGCCTAAGCCGTGCTATATCTCGCCTACAGATCTGGGTGTTTGACTGCTCTGCAATCTGAACCCATTGACAGACGACTTTGGTGACGGTACAGACATTCAGTCACGAAGCTATAGTATTTCAAAGTCGATTTGGTTTTTAMTCTCGCTGTGTTTTCGTAGATTCGTGACTTTTCTGTCCACATCACGCCGTAGATCCCAACATATGTGGTGGTTAGATCATTCTTTGTCGACATGACTTCAYTCTATACGATTTTCCGACTGTTTTTCGTACTTTYCCTGTGTATMTTGSTACAATTTCAAGGTGAGTATCTACAAATTTGACATAAGCATGATTTACAAATACTGAGTTCCATGTATTTGTTTAGAAATCTTTAGAGTTCCTACTGAACTCTGATAGTTGAATTTCTAAGTTGTATACATTTTCGATGATTTTAAATGTGTAGATTTGCAGTTTTAATAGGGAAATATTTGCCACGGGTACATGTGACAGATGTGTCGATCAATTCCTCTATTATATCATGCTTCAAATACACACCAAAACCGCACGGTCATGATTCTAAATGAGTCAATAAAAAGCTATTGTTGAACGTGATTGTAAGTAAACTTATTAAATGGTATCTAGGGACAAGAAGCACTCATTAAAATTATATCGTAAGTTATATGATATATACTCGTTGGTTATTTTTGATACAGATTCGGTCAAGAACTACCCTATTTCCTGATGTTTTTTCTAGGTGTATCCGACAGACTTCCTCTAAAATTTTCAGTGGGTCGAATAGAGCGTGTAYATTTGTTTACTCCCTACCGTTACATAGATATACTATATGCATATAACAGCGTTAAATGCTATGGATCTATTGCCCTTAACCTTATCTGGCGTCAAGCCTTATTTAGTAAAGGCACCACATAAGAAACTAAGAACTCTTGGACGCAATGTACCTAAATGAACTCTAATCTGCTAAAGAGTTTATTCAGACGTCTTTGACACTCAATACTAACCAATATTATTCACAGAATATTCACACCCCAGCCGATTACACCTTTCCCTTCGAAAGTCACGCTTGTCGTTTGAGAGAAGTTTGTCGACACATCACAATTAACGTCGCGAAGGCGGATTTTAGCCATCTCTAAAAATTTATTCACTTTTCTTAAGGTCTTCTTCTCATTCCATCACAATGAATCAAATATCGTTTCAGTAAAAATTCTCGATATAAATTCCAACGCGTGAAAATACTTTGATATGAATATTTTTGATGTCTGCAACTTTTATCAGACATGTAGTATACTAAAATATAAGCGCAGGAATTCATGGCCATTAATCAAGTCTTAATTACTTCCAGAGAAATTGGAAAACATGCTCACTTTTGATGTCTTTAAATTGAAATCCGGAAGAATTGTGTCGGCCTTTATTGTCGCAATGCATCGAATGAAAGCTGTTTTTTCATTTGACCATTTTTTCTTCCATCCATCCATCCATGCCATTCCACCCCATCCATTAATCCACCTTTAATTGATAGCTATAAAATAATCAAACAATTAATTGATTATTTTCGATATTTTCAAATGATAAATGCATTTAGCGATATTCACAGTCGGTATTTCAATTCAGTCAATTCATTTAAATGAATAAAGACTATTCATTTAAGAATAAAGATTATTGCAAATCATACATATTTTATTCAGTTTAACTATTTTTTTTATCTTATTTCTTAAACTATCAATCTCGATTAATCAATGCAGTATTTAGTTTATTATATTATTCTTGCAGAAAAATGTTATTAGATTAGAGCATATCTGGCCATCTTGCATGGAGTCAGTTAGCAATTAAAGTAAGTTAATCAACAACGGTTGCGGGAGACCCCRCACATTGACATGAAAATATGCATAGATATGAACGTAACATATGTTTATCTGCCAATATTAGAACAATATATAATATATTTCACAGAACAACACATCATGAATCAGCCGTCGTTCAATCWAAAGCAATTTTATGAAGAGAATGCATTTAGGGGATGTTATTCYAGAATTTTCATGTGCAWTCGCATATATTTGAGCCTATAACCAATCGCAAATGAAGTCTTTTTCAGTTGGTAAAAGCAAGTACCAGATCCCATTCCACCAAATTGAATCCCGGGGGAAGACAGTGCAARCATTAACCTTATCTTAAAGGTCAGACAGAATGGCTGTACGTACAGTAAAARCACCACTATATGMCATCTGTACTCTTATTCAAGTCAAGAATTGTGGTTGATGTCGGTTTTATTAAAGCTTTTAAGGTTCTTTGATTATGATGAATAACATCTTAACCGCGAAAAGAACATTTACATTCAAACTSCTTATTTCACTTTTATCAATACGATTTTTTTTGGCCACAACAGAACTCGAGGCGTCCGAAATTATTTAGCTCGGTGTTTTACTTTAAAACGTTTGTATACGAATATTATATAAAAATARAAAACGTYACACATACTGTTGAGTCACTTCTGTTCCAAAACGTTAKGCTAGAGACGCATGTAAAGTAATTGTTGGGTGTAATATAAAGTAGGTGYCCACCAATCTTTGYATGACTTGATACGAGGTTGCTTTTCTTGTCTACATTGAGCTCCCGGTATCACTTAAAAGTAAATGAAACTTTGTATAAATGTAAAGATCAAGATATCTTATGGCAAGGTGTGCAAGCCTCTTCCCCCATGCTWCACAGAAGATCTGTCCTTTTTAGATTTCTCTTCAAGATCAGTTCCGGTTTGCATTATTTGACGGCTTGGGTTGTTGGAAATGAGGTTCGCCGTTTGAGCCAGAAAACKTCTTAGCAAAATATAACGAAACTAGAAGATCTGATCTCAAACATAAGATACGGTTATGACGTGACGCACTTTTAATTACAAGACTCGGGAATACAAGTTTATTAGTATTGTATACTATTACGTGTGTTTACCCTCGTCCTTAAAAACACCAGACCACAGTGCACTGAATATAGTTGTAATAATCAGCTCTACTTTTAAAAAGGTGCCCGTTGCCACACCCATAAAAATGAAATTTGTTCATTGCTGTTTCCGATAACTTGTAAAAGAATCCTTTTTTCTTAGTGTGGAATATTTAGTTATGATATTGCAAACACTAATTTAATCACATCAGATACCGTGATAGTCAATGCTAATAGTGATTTAGATCCTCTTCAAGTTGCTTTCACTTTATATCACGTTCAGCCGATCCTCATCGACCATGTCATCATTGAGTGGTATTAGCCGCTATTTCTCAAAAAATCATAACTTGATTTTACCTTAAAACAGTATTAGAAAACTAATTTCATGAACTTTTTGACAAAATCAGGGCTTTAGGATTTACAATTTGCGATTAAAATTAAAATTAAAATGCTTTAGGACGCAAAATAAAAAACCTTGAAATAATGAAATCGAGTTAGAAATTCGTTCACGTGATCATGTGGTAAATCATGCCCAACATCTGTTTCTTATAATTTTAGTTGACGAGCGTGTGTGTACTATCTTTTTGATCGTCGTCATCATGCTTTGTACCCATATTGATATAAAGCTCATTTTGCCTGGTAAATATGTGGTTGTCATTAGGATTTGTGGCTGGAGTTTTGTGGTTGGGAAAGGTAATTTTCTGGTGACAAGTACATYTTTTTGAGAYTGAATATATCTATACATTAATTACTGTACTTTAAAAACAATAAATGTTGTGGATTCAATGACAGCTTTTAATATATAAAAAATSTGAGGCATTTTGGTAGAAAGCGAGGATAACATTTGGGATCCATTCAGGAGCCTTTTATTCTATTCCTATTTTATTCCAGTAAAAAGAAAATGTAATTAAAAAGTTAAATTACTCCCGACTACATAGATTAGCCATGACCTAATCGCCCACTCTCTAGACAATCTCCAACAATGTACTTTTTTTGCAGGAAATGAAGCAAGAAGGACAAAACGCCAATTTAACCAAATTTTTGCCAACACCGGCAGCTCAATAGAACTAATATGCCCATTAAGCGTGCCTAACAAGATTCCAAGCTTATGGCGAGTAGCTGGTTTCAATGCCATGATTCGTCTCGCACCAGATGGTGTGACCATCGAACAAAATGGACMAAGGTTCACCGTGCATAATATCACAGCAACGTTAACAGGAATGTTCATGTGCAGAGTGGGAAGAAAGAGACGACCTATGGGAACTGTACGCTTAGTTGGGTCCTTGACAAGTACGTAGATAGATATGAAAAAAAAGCGATCGATTGATGATTGACTGATTCTGGATAAATAACTGATTTACTAAACGATCAATTGTCCATAAAATGAGAATAATTAATCCAGTGGTTGAGTGATGATTGATTGTTGCTGATTGGATGGCGGTTGATTAATTTATTGATTGGTAATKGCGGTCATCATTGTTTTGTAGATCCTCCCATCCCAACGGTAACGCCCAAACAACAAGTCTTCACGGGTCGACGCAAGTCTGGTACATTGACTTGTGTTGCTAAGGGAGAAATTAGAAGCGTCGAGTGGTTTAAAGGTAATTCATGGAGATCATTCATATAATATTTGTAATAACTTTATAATGTTTAGTATCATGCAGGTCGATAAACGATTTGTTATATAGTGAATTTTCTTGAAATTTTTTCACTCAGCCACTGATAAAGTGATCAATTCTCATAACATGTACTGATTAAAATCATGGAATTTTCACTTTATTAATATCTACATGAATTTTACTTTTGAAATTGAACACTTTTTTTCCAGTGAGCTTTTCCTTTTCTGGTTGCTAATATCTGTCCGTAACAACTATGTTTGTGATTTCAGCTGGTGTTAAAGTGACGTCGCACAATCATTCTGTTACCAAGGATATTCAGGGTTTACAAACCACGTGGACAAACATTCTTCATCTTCAAAACACCACGAAACAAGACGATGGAAAGTACGAATGTCGTGTCGTCCACAATGGGATGAGATTTGTGAGTGGGTTTTGGTCTGCCTCCTCTGTGGTCATGGTAACAGGTAGAACAAGCAGCTTTGATAAATTGTATTTTCCTCAATCGACAGGTCTGAGTCTTTTCCTTGAATTTTACCTTCGTTTTGAGTTCTCTAAAGGAATCTTATGTCTTTGTTTTCTAGCTGTTTCCTCTCTGATTATGTTCCTTTAATTATCTTTGATAATTGATCTCCCAAGCAATTTTTTTTCAATTAGGCTCCCGTCAAATTTTCATCACTGAACGATATTMGACAAAGTGTATAAAGGGATGAAATAATAAATATCTTTCCGTTTCCCCACTTTAATTTCTATTTTTGTGTTGCAGACTCATCTTGTTTAGAGTTGAATGGTCGGTTTATCGATCCAGCTAATAAAGCTGGTTACATCGAGTGTGTCAAAGGTATTGGTACAAGAAAAAACTGCACTCTTGGTACCATTTGGAATGATGCAAAAAGGCTTTGTGAAGTAGTTGGTAAGAAAACGTGTTAAATTGACTCATTCAACTTCATGATGCCTTTTTTTCCAAGTTCGTATCACCCACTCGTTGCAGTTTCAATGGTGGGAACAAATGAACGAGACCATTGCGTTTAAAATGTGATTTTGCAGTTAACTACAGGTTATTTTTTACATAATTGTCACAATATTTCCAGGAAACTATTAGGTGTCCGTGAGATGCATACATACATACTTAACCGAGCACCTTCCCAACACAAACGACAACAAGCGTCTATAGGGAATCTCTACTGAGAAAAAGAGGCATAGCATACTAAGGAGTCCAGAAGCAGATCCAGAACAGTTTGGGATGATTTCTTATTACATATAAAACCCTTGATCCGCCACAAGAAGCGATGTGTAAGGATGTGTGTTTTGGATCCATTCCTGGGGTCTCATGTTTTGTCTATCGTTAGTGCCCATTTCTGGTGGAAAAGGGAAACCGATTCACTTTCAATCCTTGTTCCAAATTTGGGCAGCTACTTACTAGCTCTTGGCCAATCAAATTTAAATCTCGCGAGTTACTTGTCAATTACAAGACAATTACTAGCCAATACCATCGGATTTTCTTTTCATATTGTCATCGTAGTATTTACCTTTTTTGCAGCCAAGAAGCTCCATTGGTTGACCAAATCACCATTCCATAGTACCACTGACAAAAAAACAGGCCAGACAATCACCATTGACTGTAGGCTGTCAGAACCGAATACCGAAGTAGCACTTTACCAAAAAACCAACAGATACAAGCGTCGAGTTCCTGATGGCTGCAAGGTCACCTACACAAACCAAACCTTCACAATCCACGCCTTGCTGATCCTTGATATTGGATGGTACTACTGTGAAGCTAGGAATATCACTGCCAAGAAGGAACTTTACTTAAATGTTGCTCCAGGTATAGTAGTGAAAAACTCTAGTTTTGTACTCATGGATATCTTATCTGCCCAACCGTTTCAAAGGAGAGGTTCTTGTTGTAGGTGGTTCAAATATGTCCTACTTTTTCAAGTCAAAAACAATGCTTGATATGTATTTATCGTTTTTTTTTTAGATTCTGGTATTGTATGGGGKAAAGGCTCTTTTAACTTCATCGTCCCTTTAAAGAGCTCCATCGATCTAGAATGCAGGGCGTCCGTCGTACCAGGTTCCGAAATTTCCTTAGAGCTCAGCACAGCATACAAAACAGTTACCCTAAAACCAGATAACAAGACGATCATTAAACGAGGAAACACGTTTACAATTCGTAACATCGATCGTGATAAACGAGGTGTGGTGTTTTGCAAGACAACGTCTCGATGTGGTGGACAGGCTACAGGATACAAAATCGGTCGTTTACTTCCGGTTATGCTACCCAGTGGTAAGCTTTAGTATTCTTGTGTTTTATTCAAATGGAAATAAAATCTCAGACAAGCAGAATTACATGAAGTCAGCCAAAAAAGCAGAGCAGAGCAGAGCAGAGCAGAGCAGAGCAGAGCAGAGCAGAGCAGAGCAGAGCAGAGCAGAGCAGAGCAGAGCAAAAAACCAGGTTATCTATAGAGTTCGCTGATACAATACTATTATATTTCCAGAGCTCACACCAAGACCTGTTATAAAGCCGCTCAAACACACGTTATCTATTATCGGGAATGGAAGTGCAGTGTTCCACTGTTCCACCGGTAACATTCCTGCAAGAAGCTTTGAATGGCTTATAGAGGGCAAACCCATACATGGCAATGAAGTGGCAAATTCTGCTGACATGAAGCATAGCATTCTAACACTGACAAAACGGCACTGTCTGCCAAAAGAGCGATGTAAAATCGAGTGTCATGTGACTTCTAACAAAGGAATAGGCTACTGGTATTCAACGGCTGARCTCGTGTTAAGTAGGTTGAGCACTGAATTTCTTTTTATAATGAAATTAAATGTATTGTTTGGTTTCAAGTACGCTTTATGTACTATGTATTTATGCATATATACAGCCTTTTGCAAAAATTATGAGAATTGTTGAAATATCTAAATATCATAATATCAAGTGCATGATCCCGCGYGATGGCCTTAGTCCCTTGTCTTTATTGTTTAGTTTTTTTGGCGACAGACTTATCCGTAGTTCTGAACATTTTCTCAATGTAAACAATGAATTATTCTAGTAAACCCTCGTGTTCCGGACAATATGTGGATATGGATATTATGATATTTAGATATTTAGACAATTCTCATAATTTTTGCAAAAGGCTGTATTATGTGAACGGACAACTCCAACACGCGTTGGGCTGCTTGAAAATTGAAACAAATCARTGCAATTTTGGGTGGAAGAAGCTATGGAATTCATTGAAGTTATTTAGGGCACGTCTATAGGATACCCAAAGCTCGCTGGAGTAAAAAAGGGAAAAATTTGAAGTCACGCAAAAAATAAACAATGCGACTTGGGGTAAGAAGCAAGGGCACAATGGGCGTATTTTTATTTAGGGTGCTAGATATTCATGAAAATCCTAAAAAACGAATTYTGGGTTATAAAACCTAGTGTGCTTTGGGAGCGTAAGCAGACTATGTAGTCGAAAGTTTGTATAGCTGACTAGAATTTATTGGACCTATATATGACCAGTTGTAGTAGTGCTTGGCGCTGTTGCAGTATCCAGTTTAAGCACAAAAGCTGATACAATATTATCTTCATCAATGCTACCATTCCCCAACGTGGAAAAACTTACTATTCTCTTTATATAAATGATTTCTACGCAGGGACAGGAAAAGATAGTTGGGGACCTGAAATAGTTGAAAGAGTGGAGGAATATACTTCAACAACCATTAGATGTCCACTCCATTCTACAATGCTCTACCAAAACACGAGTGTTGGTCGAAAACCAAGACGTCCTGAYGGGGCTAAGATAAGATGGACTGGAGACGTCTTTCAGATTGAGCTGTTTGACTACAGTGATACTGGTGAATACCTCTGTGAAGACGAAGATGTGACTGTCTACCTGGAAATCAAACGTAAGACGCCACGGCAATACTCTTGATTAGTGCTATAATTGTGTTTATTATAAAGCAGACAGCTACAATCTCGGGCAACACCTGTTGGAGACACTAACATTTTCGCAAGTCCGTAAAATATGGATTTTTTTCTTAATCCCCCCCCCCTCTCCCGACATAACAATGTTGGTTGCGCTAAATTACCAGAAACAAGCTGACTTTTTGTATATTTTACAGCTCGCACAAAAGCTTTGCCCAAATTGCGATCTTTTGGTATCATAGCAGCTTCAAGTCTTGACAAAGTAACTATCGCGTTATCCAACGAAACAACGATAGAGTACAGTGGAGGCACCAACCTGGTGTGTTATACCGATTCAAGATCGTCGCCGTTAAAGTGGACAAAAATAACCTCTACAGGAAAAAGTGAATCTATAGATGGAATCAAAACAACACAAAGACTRAAGGGAAAGCAGAGTGTTCTTGAATTAAGGAATGTTACCAAACATGACGAGGGCATTTATACCTGTAGCTTGAACATTGGTGGGCGACTCAACACTGCCTCGGTGAARGTTAATGTCAAAGGTTTGTCAATAATCATTTCAATAGATCGCTTCCTTTTTGTAAGGGAGGGACATAGCCTGTGTATAGGTTCACTCTCTGAATTTTCCACRTATGGGGGAGGGGTGGGAATGGATGTACACAGGCTGGAGAGACATGGCTGACTACACGAGATAGGATGCCGAATCTTTTACATGTAATCTTCTTGCAATCAAGTTTGAGTATAAACGCTAACAATCCCCGATCGCAAAATGTTTCGTCGAAACTGTCAGAGTTATCAACCCTTAACGGCATGTTTTCCAGATCTCTCTGTACCATCTGTCTTGGCCAAATCATCCAAGGTCATCGCCAATGAAAAAACAGATGTCACTCTCTCGTGTGTGGTAAACGGGTCCCCTGTGCCTAGCSTCGTCTGGTTGAAGGCTGGTAAGAAGATAGGACATTGCAATAATATATATGGCTCTGTCGTTTGCACCTCAACGATCCCAGAATACAACTGTACTAACTCAAAAGGATCATATAGTCTATTGATCAGGAATCTCAGTCGTGAATCCCATGATGGGGCGTATGAATGTATAGCTTCTAATGCAGCAGGAAGAGCGAAGACGACTATCTTACTTTCTGTCTATGGTGAGTTGAGAAGGCAACAATGGGTTTGACTTTGATATTTGGTAAGACAATYAAAAAATGGTGCATTTGGGCGGCAGAGTTGAAAATTGAAAATTTACAATCGATTATATGATGTGGGGTGTGTGTGGGAGGGGTGGGGTGGGTGAGGTGTATTCAGCCACACAACACTCATGCACGGAGCAACCCCTGGTAAGGTTGTCAGCTATTCTCAAGGGTCTCGATTGGGTGTCCRTTTGACGGCTGGTGGCTAAAAAAGGCGTTTTGACCGTACGGTGGACGGTCAGTTTTATAGTTTTATAAGGATAAGCAAATTAATCTAACGCGGATAACCCATTAAGATCCTCATTCTCATGTGTTGTAATAAATATTCCATGGGGTTTCTGTARTGAAACAGGTTCATTCGCAGTATTGAAATTACCCCTTTAAAAGATAACGAATGAAATACATGGATTTCTTTTGTTTCTAGTAAAACCACAGTTACTCAAGAAATCACAGGGGATCAACTACGTGGTAGCCAAGCCTTCTGAGAAAGTGCATCTTGAGTGCACCAGACTGCGAGGTTACCCAGCTCCAAGTTATACTTGGCACCAGGCCCMATCATCCGTATGTAAAGACRGTGATCATAATTGTAAACCACAAGAWAACCAATGGAAAAAGTCAGGTCACGTGACTGAAATGCTGACGTCATCCCCACGCAATGACACTGTCTTTTACAAGTGCATCGCAACCAATGCCGCTGGACAGGACGCCAAGCTTTTTGCTGTTGTGAGGATAGGTATGTTGTAATACACCTTTTCAGTTGYTCTTAGGCCTCGATAGCAAGTTAATTATTCTTTTGAATTTGACAAATGAGACTATTCATATCAATGTTTGCATTACTCACATTCCTACAAATTCAAAAGAATATTTAACACGCTGTCGAGGCTTAAGAGCAACTGAAAAGGTGTACTAATAGAGAATCCTTCACAGGCATCATTATTACTATTGTGGATTCGGGCTTCCTGTCCTGTGTTTTGTAGGAAGTAGAGGGAGAATAGGAGCGAGGGAAAAAAAGGGATGCCGATATGAACGTTACAAAGGGTGTTTGCAAGAATCTCATACCCCGAGCCTTTATTTTTCTTGGCCAGCGCCGTCGACAAACATAAGACGCTGGTCAAGAAAACGAAGGCTCGGGGTACGAGATTGGGATGTTTGTAAAAAAGCAAAAGAGTTGACTGGAGATGGGGCTACGTCTTCACTGAGTTTTCATTATCCTCTGTGAAGAAAGGGGACAGGACAACATCTTCAGCTTCGTAACTTTTTCGCGACCTTTTTTTCGAGTTTCGGTGACATTTGAGGTATCTTTGCACAAACATAACTCCTACAGAATAATATCCTTTAACGTTCTTTATTTAATTTTTGCTCGATGCAAATTTACTTTCATTTTATCAGTCAGTATAGTAAGGCAWTCTCTGGTCGTCATCCAAGGGCGCAGTGTCAGAGAGCTGCTGACGATTGGCGGGTTGATTTTCTTTTTTGTTGAGCTTTTTACCGAATCTACGTCGTCCTGAAAAGTAGTAACAATTTTTCAAGATAAGCAATACTACCATTGTTTGAGTCATAGGCAACGACTGCTCTTTCCGAAAAAAAAATGAGCAGAATGTGTTTAATAATTGTTTTATTTTTCGAGCACGAAATCTTGTTGCCTTTTTCTTGGAAGTAGCGAGTTGAATTGCATGTTGGCTAGCAATTTTAGAAAAGGCCRCATTTTGCAACTGATTTGTTTTTGAAATTGAAATTGTAGAAGTGGACCATTTGAATTCGGTACTTTGTCTTTTGAATTCATTTTGTTATGGGCTATTATCATTTATCATATAATTATCTATGAAATACCTATATTGATATTTTCACTAGTGAAAATAACACATTCGAGGTTACTCTATAAAGTACAAGTAAGAAAAAAAGAGTATTTTACGACATAATTTGCTTTCATATACAATTATATGATAAATAGAATATTACATGGTCGCTTAGAGATACGAATTTTATCTTCTCTTGTTGAAAATCTCTTTCTTGTTGAAGATCTGGAAGATAAAATCCGGATCTCCTCGCGCCCTTGTAATATCCTCTATTAGTATCCAACTTATGGTATATTACAAATCGCGCGCTCTCATTGGCTGCTCAACCATGATCTATTGGTTGATAGCCCATGGTTGGAGAAAACAAAATGGCGGAGCGCTCGTAAATTCAATTTTAAGTTGTTTTGGCAATATCATCCTAAAATTTGTTCTGGTGTGGAATTTTCAAGAAAAAAATGACAAGCGAACAGCTCTATTTTTCCTCAAGAAACGAGGTTCCAATGGTTCAACTCCGGCTACCTTCATTCTTGTTTACAAACGAAGATAAAACTTGACAAGCTTTTAAAAGTATTATACTACTATGCAGGTATTTGATAAATAGTATTTTATAAATTTTTGGCGTTTCTATTTATGAGTTTTTTTGTGTGATTTTTCCATTTGATTAGTGATTTTATCGAGAGTCACGAGTGCTTTGTAAATTTGTTTAGTTTTCTACTGAATTCGCAAAAACTAAAAATATTTTGTTTCTCAAAATCTAGAATAAAATTTGAATAAAATTTAAAAAGTTGTTGGATACTAAAACGATTAGACCTCTCCTCATGGGCTACGTTCAATCTACTCGACCTTCGGTCTCGTGGGCTATTGAAGCGTAGCCCATTCGGGCTTCGGGTCTAATTGTTAATTAGTCGCTATATTCAATTCCAATATCTTTATAATAACGATAAACCTACTSGGATAGGGCTCAGCAGGAACAGAAACAGCCCCTAACAAAAGCAAAACGGCCAACACCAAGATTAGCTTTGACTTCATGTTGTAACTAARAATTCAAAACAAAATGAGTTTAATATGTGGGTATAGCGTGAAGCATTTCCTTAACTTGTTCATAGTTTTAGAGTGAGAGGGAGACTTAAAACTGAGCAGAACAATTTCAAAAATTAAAAAAAGGGCTTTGAGGACTTTTTGGGACTCTTAGAACCTGATACTCTGGCGGAAATTACTATAATCGTTACTACAACTGAATCTGTAAGTATTTCCCAGCAAACAGCAAAACAGACCCATGGCTCTTTAAAAGCTCGTGCATTTTCCGTTTGACAACTGTCATTCGACATTTTATAGAAAACCTTTTCTGGAATAGGTATKTACATCTTGTAGTGGTATAACTAATATACCTTTTAAGACCTTTTAAGCATTTTAAAAAAGCATTTCGCTTAGCCGAAGATTGGAAGACGTATAAATAACATGGCGAAAAGGTTTAAAACGGATTTCGTTTGATAACACAAGTGAATTTCACGCTTTACCTTTAAAGAAGCGACTGAAACACACCAAATAAAACCAGAATCAACTTCGTTTTTGCTTGCTCTTGACTCGTCACGACGACTCGAAGAAACTAAAGCAATACCTCACAGTAACGCCCTTTAATAGTGACGGTTTCTGGGTTAGGAAGGAGGCGCAATGTTCAGTTGTCGGGGTTACCATTTGGGCTATTTGTTGTTTTTTATTATTATTATTGTAAAAATATTAGTTGTTAGCTTAGTTGAAATTTGTCGGCATTTTGTGAAAACCTATCGGCTTTAATTAGACGCTCGCCGGGAGGCTCTAGATGGGTGGATCTCATAGTCAGTTTTCAGTTAAAATTTTTGTCATAGGCGTTCACTACCACACGGAAACCTAAAAATAAACAATTTCTTCGAATTAACTCGTACAGATATAAGAGTTTCATTAATCTTCTATACATATGTTTTTGATTTTTGGTTCAGTTTTGAACAGATGAAAGTTATACAAACGACACCATGGCATCGTCAAGTTAAGGTGAAATTGTTTTTCTAAACAGACTATTTCTWGGCAGTACCTACTATTCTGAACAAAATCAATCCGTTTGATTCAATAATTCGCCGCAGTAGTACTCCGTAGTATCAAACCCACTTTAACAATTTCGTTGAATGACTGTGCTTAAAGCAGAAGCCGTCCGCATTTTTACAACATATTCTAGGAAACTCAATCCCACCAAGTACATGTAGAGTTGTTCTCGTGGAATAGCTATTTTTAAAACATATCCTCAGTCCTTTGAAAACACGTTCACTAAAAAAGAAATGGAAAACAAAATGAAAGAGAAAACTACGCAAAATAAATACAATTTAACGTGAAGACGTTCTTGAACAAAAGTTTAGAAAGTCTACTGTGTGGGGACCCCATAGTTGCATTAGGTTTTGGAAGATATATTCCGAGATCTGCCAATCATCTACTGACATCGATTATTTTACTGATTACGTCTGTCTGTTAGTTTTCAGCCCTTGGTATCCATTCTATTTCTAGCCTTATATGTTTAGCGCCGCAGAATCTAAATATTTGGATAGCTAGAGCATGTAGAGCACTACCTCTACAATTTTGTAAGCTGCCTGATGTATAGTTTACAACATGAGCGGCCGTGTTGTATGGGAATTACAATCTCGAGCCGCAGGCGAGAGATTGTAATTCCCATACAACACGGACGCGAATGTTGTAAACGACTTATAAAACTCCAACACAAATTAACATGAATTACAGTGAGATAAATGACGAAAAATGACAAATAAGGTAACTGCTGAGTTTAGTCCCTATTAAGCAAGCGCAATTTATTGCAACACAGAACATTTTGAATAATTATCCATCCCACATGGAAAGCAAGCCATCTGTTGCATAAGCGAGTTCTGTTATCCGTTTTTGATTGCTTCAAAACCTAGTGAAGGTCTATGATGCGACACTAAAACTGAGACCTTTGCTAGTGTTGGGTTGTCTCAATGGTGACGACCGTGTTGTAAATCTGATACAACACTAGTGGTTGTATCAGATTTACAAGGTCAATCACCTGATTAAATGGTCAGCCCTTATTGGAGCAATAGCTTATGCATTATTAATAAGTTTTATAATCATGCTTAATAGTCAGACAACTAAAAAAAATTATAGACATTCATATGAAAAAAGGGGGGGGGGGGGGGGCTATCGTAACGCCATATATTATTATACAAGTTATACAATATAGTATTACTACTCGTTGGAAGAACATATTATAATGAGTGATATCTAATAGTTTTCAATGCTCATGCATTTAGTAACGACCAGAAGTTACAGGTGTCTGAAATTGGARACTTTTGAGTGAAAATCAGATGTGAGGCCTTACCAGCCTATAGTTTTCACGTTTTCAATGCGTTTGGTTATTACCTAACGACTTTACACACGCTTTCCGAATTTTCCGAATTTCAGAATCATTTCTTAATAATATAATTGATATACTGACGAAGTTTCAATAAAATCTTAACCTAAAATTTCGAGTTGTTTGAGCAAAATGATGTACAATTTATCAACAAGAATAATCGATAATCAATGTGACTTCTGTGAAAGTTTGAGTGCAATATTGAATCGAAATTTGCGACGTATAGTTGGAGTTTAAAAATACGCGCGAAGCGCTATTTATTACGATCGAAACACCTTAAGCGCGCGTTTTTTTCCAGTGTATACTACTTTTAGACGAGCTCTTATTTTGGAAAAACAACCTGAATTCACTAAAAGCAAGAGTCTGCTTTTAAGCTTTTAAGCTTTTAAAAAAAAAGCCTCACTGTTTTGCCTTCTCAAACGCAAGCTTAACACAGTGCGGGGCAAAGATAACGTTAGAAAAAACATATATTATAGCCATAAATTATTGAAAGAGGAAGAAAGAGAGAAAAAGAGTTCAAAATGGAGGGAATTGGCGGCCTGCTTAATTTTCTCGCTAGAATCATTTAGTAAATAACAATAAACGATATGCCCGCCACTTCTTTGTTCTATGTTCTTAATGTGTGAATGTAGTTTAGGGAATAAATGTTTTATAGTCGTTCACGAGTGAATAAAGTATAATTCTTACATCGTAACAGAGCGATATTTCACTCTTTTTCTTTATTTCTTATAATAATCATAGCATTCCTGCATTTTGCTCTACTTTATTTAACCAATTCTTCTTATACAGAAAATTAACTCTCCCTTGAAACAGAATGTCGTTTTTACGACATATCCTCAGCTGTGACCAAGGAAACTCTTGTACACGAAGTACATGTAGAGTTTTCCTGCTGTCATTGAATAGCTATCTTTTATCATAGCAGYAAACATATCCTCAGTCATTTGGAATCACATGTTTCTTTTAAATTACTTGCCAGAGGCGAAACACGTCTGTAAARTCGTTCGGTAATAGTATATTCAAATGTATATTGTAAAATGTCGCTGGCAAAATGTCCCTTTCTGTAACTCAGTCTGGTCGCTTAAATCGTATATACCGCGAATTTTTTAATCATAACAGAACTCTTTTCCTTCATATAAGTTGTCAAGTATTACTTCATTTTCCTCTCTGGCTTTCGCCCATGCTTTTTATACAGAAAATTCACTGTCCCTAAAAGAACGTGCTCAAATGATAGTAAAATAACATGAAGTATTGTAATTTTGTTAACATTCAACATTCGTTGAATGACTGTGATAAAAAGAAGGTCATTTTTACGACATATCCTTAGTTTGTTTGTTTAAATCTCTTAACCGTAACCAGGGACACTCTTGTACGACAAGTACATCTAGTTAATTTGAATCTCTAGTAAATGTCTTTAGCTTAATTTTTTGATAACAGAACTTTTAATCGGTCTGGTCTAAGATCTTCTTCACTGCAAATTAATTCGTTAAAAATTGTTAGGAACATCATTTTATCCAAGTTAGCCCAACATGTTTTAGAAGACGACCATGTGATCGATTTCAGTGGTGCTCAAGTGGTGGATAAGGAGCCTAATTACCACAAACGTTTATTTCTTGAAGCTTAGCACTCTGAGTGTGACACTAAGGGACTGTGCAATAATTACTAGGACGGGGGGGGCGTAAAACCAGATTTCTC